ATTTATATTATCTAACAGAAAACCAATGACCAACGATTGAAGCTACTCAAAATCGCTTGTTTTGTTGCCATCTACAATATTTATTTCTTGTGTTAAATATTACAAAATCAGGAGTACTTATGGTTGGTACGAAAAAGGATGAGGTGGAAAAAAAAGATTTGTTAGTTGAGATCTTATGAAAAATGAAAAGAATATAGCCCGTTGTGTAGAACTCCCTCCTTCTTTGGTGTTTTGAAGTGAGAAGTCGATGTCTAGAACAGCTCGTTCCACTACTAAAGATTGGAACCACAACCATCAGGAAGTGTTAATGGGGTGGGCTAATACTTTTAAGTGGACTAATACTAATAATAAATTTTTTTTTGAATTGGACTAAAATTTACTATAGTAAATAATTTTTTTTTTTGGGGTGGGCTTGCCCCTCAAGCCCCTGAATCCGCCAGTGACAACCACACGTCTTGGTTAATAACGATTTTTTTGATTGTATCGTTGTTGGGCCATGGGCTTTTAGTTTGTGAGCTTTGCCACTTTGTCTTGGTTTCGTAGCTTGGGCTTTAGCCCTAACCCAAAAATCAATTGATATTTTGTTGTGACTTTGTATCTTTAGCAAAAGCATGTTGTTTTATTTATGTCTTACTCCTATCGTGTGCGTGACTTAAATTTTGTTTTGTTTTTACGAGAGGCTCTGTATGGCTATAATTTGTGAAGTTTGAAATTTCTTTTCATTCGCCTTTGAAAAGAATTTGACTTGACTTATTCCTCTTTGTGCGTTCCTTGCAAGCCATCCTTGGTCAATTTGTTGCACTCACCGTTATGATCATGAGAAAACCTATCTTCAAGTCCAAGGATTAAAGACTCAATAAGATGTTGAGTGTAATTTGAACATGATTAAAGATTATCATACTCGGTCAATTTCGGTCAAGAACATAATTAAAGATTTGATTTTATCAATAAGATGTTAGTGTTTTTCGAATACGCGGGATGAGAGCGATTAGAGTTTATTAAAGCTTATAAGCAGAGAGCTTTGAATTTGTTTATGATATAACTAAGTGCTGTAACCTAGTAAATACTTTCTCATCTTACAAAATATAAGAGCGACGGTTCAAGCCCTCATAACAAACCGTCGACTCAACCCTACACAAAATCATCAAAATACAAACTCAAATCTCATAGAATTGGTCACGGAGTAGAACTCATTGCAAGCTTTTTGTGCATATGTAACGAGCTTGATGTCACCTTCTCCATGTTAGGGTAGAAATTGTATCGAAGAAATCACGCCTTTTCATAGAGTTCAAACTGTTTCAGAGAAAAGATCTCATGATCGATTGTGTAGTCTAGAAGAAAACCAAAAATTGCATCTCCATTATAGCCTTACAGAAGGACAATTAAAGCCAAGAAGTGAACATGTTAGGTTTTACTAAAATTAGTTTAAAATGTGTTTACATAACATCATTTTTCCATTGGGTTTTAATAATTTTTTGCATTGCATAACAAGCTAGAAAGAGAATTGATCAACATTGCGTTTGAAAACATGAAATTGACATTTCGAGATTACAATTTCTTCAATCTGATGATGAATAAGGATCCATTTCTTAGGGGGGGGGGGGGGCGGGGAATTCATGATTTGAGAATTGGAATTCGAAGTTTGAATTGTCTAACTTGATTAATTTTTCCATCGTGAGATGAGTTTGGATAGAAACATCTGGTGTTATAATGGCCGTGTCGACATCCCTAGCTAGTGCTAATTAACCTAATTAAGAATGTGTAAACCAATCAGACGATAAACATAATCAAATTTCAGTTGACATCTGAAGACTAGCTAAAGTCTAATATTTTCTGCCGGTCTGTGGCGGGCAAATGAATGTTGATGAGTAGGTGTGGAGATTCTGGAGAAGACTTCTCCGATTTTAAAGCATAGGCCCTATAAATATATTCTGATTTTAAAGCATAGTACTAAAACCCTTCATAAATCCTCCATCCAACCATTGTCCTCTTGTATCTCATGGTAACACACACACCCAAAATGAAATTCCTAGTAGATGCTAAGCCATTCCACCACCAATTTCTTTCTAATTTCAAACTTTTGTTCGTTTCCGTCATCATCCTTGTGTTGATGTCTTTTTTCCATTTCACTGCTTGTGATTCTTCTTCTTCTGCAGCTCCAAAAGAAAAGGAAAGAGAGGCTCTCTTGAAGTGGAAAGCCAGTCTTCGCAATCAAACAACACAATCTCCTCTCTCATCTTGGGCTCCAAACAGCAGCCGACACTGCAATTGGATTGGGATTGGTTGCAACAACATAACTGGAAGGGTCACCCAAATAAGCCTTCAAAGTGTTGGTTTAAGAGGTACACTTCACAATCTCAACTTCTCATGCTTCCCTCATCGCCTCAGCCTTTCTTTTTATAACAATTCTCTCTATGGGACGATCCCCAAGCACATCAGTAGCCTTTGAAATTCTCTCTCTGGAGCAATTCCATCTGAGATAGGGAAACTGAGGTCTCTCAATGTGATATCACTCGCGAGAAACAATCTCACGGGTCCAATCCCTGCTATGATGTGGAACTTGAGCAACTTGAGCATTCTATACCTCAATGGAAACAGACTTTCTGGATCCATCTCTCAAGAAATTGGGAGGCTAAAATCTCTTATAGATTTGGCATTGTCAAGAAACAACATATAGGTTCAATTCCTACTACTATAGAAAATTTGGGCAACTTAACCACTTTATACCTTTCTAGAAATAAACTCTCTGGACCAATCCCTCAAGAAATCTGGACACTTAGATCTCCCACTGATCTCGGATTATCAAACAATAATTTCACGGGTTCAATATCCAATTCGATAGGGAATTTAGGCAACTTACATTGCACCTTGACGAAAACAAACTCTCCAGATCCATTCCATCCTCTATTGGTAACTTGACCAAGCTCTTCCACTTGAGTTTGTATGAAAATCGATTATCTGGTTCTATCCCACGAGAAGTAGGAAAGTTGAAATTCCTCGAGCATCTAGTCTTGTTCGGGAATAAATTCACTGGCTCTATACCTACAGAGTTGAATAACCTTACCCATTTGAAAGAGTTGCATTTATTTGACCACGAGCTTACTGGTCATTTACCACATAACATATGCTTTGGTGGATCACTTACAAATTTCAGTGCAAATAACAACAGTCTCACGGGTCCAAGAGCTTGAAAAGTTGCACTAGTTTATACAGAGTTAGGCTTAATAGGAACCAACTATCTGGAAATATATCAAAAGTTTTTGGCATATATCCAAACTTCGTTTATATGGGTTTGAGTGATAATAAAATGTATGGTGAGCTTTCTGGTAAATGGGGCCAGTGCCACAATCTAAAGAGCCTAAGAGTGTCCGACAACAATATTTCCTGTGAGATAACACCTGAATTGGGAAATGCAACTCAACTATGCATACTTGACATCTCTTCAAACCGTCTCATCGGGGAAATTCCAAAGCGTTTAGGAAGGTTAACCTCATTGATAAACCTTGATTTAAGCTACAACAAACTTTCAGACAACATTCCTTTGGAAATTGGTGAGCTACCAGACTTGAGACGTCTTAACATGGCAGCAAATAATCTAAGTGGCTCAATTCCTGAATGATTAGGAGAGTGCGTTAAACTATTGTATTTGAATTTGACCAGAAATATTCTTACTGAAGGTATTCCTTCTAGCATAGGCAATTTGCACTCTCTTGAAGTTCTTGATGTCAGCCATAATTTACTAAAATGGGAAATACCACACCAGCTTGGACAATTGGAGAAGTTAGAAGCATTGAATCTCTCCCACAATAAGCTCTTTGGTTCCATTCCATTCACTTTTGAAGGTATGTTAAGTTTGACTTCTGTTGATGTATATCATACAATCAGTTGTAGGGTCCTGTTCCGAAAAATAAAGCCTTTCAAGAGGCTCCGTTTAATGCATTCACAAATAATAAAGGTTTGTGCGGCAATGCCACTGGTTTGAAGGCTTGCGCCACCACAATGAGCAATGAAGCTCATAAGGGAGAGAATGGCAACAAACTTGTGATTTTGATTATGGTTCCTCTTTCAGGCATTTTGCTTCTTTCATTTATGGTTTTTGGGATTTTCTATCTTCTTTACCCTAAAGTGGGCAGCGCAGATTATGAGCCAAGAAGAGTAAACAATGAAAATTTGTTTGCAATATGGAGCTATGATGGAAAAATGGTGTATGAGAACATCAATGAAGCTACAGAGGACTTCAACTCTGATCATTGCATTGGGGTAAGAGGGTCAGCAAGTGTTTATAAAGCTCAGTCGCCTAGTGGTCAAGTTGTTGCTGTGAAGAAACTTCATATCCTAGATAATGATTGTGGACAGGTTAATAATCAAAATGGTTTTACAAGTGAAATCTGAACATTAATAGAAATACACCATCGAAATATTGTGAAGCTCTATGATTTTTGTTCACACCCACGACACTCGTTTTTGGTTTATGAGTTATTGGAAGGGGGAAGTTTGCAGAAGATCCTGAGTTGTGTTGAACAAGCCTCGGAGTGGGGATGGATTGAGAGAGTGAATGTGGTTAAAGATGTGGCATATGCTTTGAGTTATATTCATCACGATTGTTCGCCTCCTATAGTTCATCGGGACATATCAAGCAAGAATGTTTTGTTAGATTCTGAATATGTGGCTCACATCTCTGACTTTGGCATTGCTAGGCTTCTAAATCCTAACTCTTCCAATTGGACTTCATTCGCGGGAACCTTTGGGTACGCTGCTCCAGGTATTTTTATTTATTTATTTTGGAACGATTCATTACAAATAGCTGATTGAATGAAAGACTGATCTAATAGTTCTATAAAACTTCTCAGCAGGATACACCGATTACACAATATGCTAGATGTAGTCTTCCATTTAACTCATCTTGCCTTTTTTTTTTTTTTTTTTATAAATAAACATTTTATAAAAAAACGCTCAAAAGGGGAGCGGAGCCCAAGAAAATACAAAAGACCACAAAGGCCTCAAGCCTTCAAAGAAGCCAAAAAGTCAACAATTTCCTCCAACGATCTATGATCTCTCCCTGAAACTCAACAAAAAAGAGTGGAAATAATCGAGAATTTAAGCACTGAAATCGACAACGCTTTTCCTTTAAAGAATCTCCTATTCCTTTCAAGCCAAATACACCACCACACACAAAGTGGCGTAGACTTCCATGCATCCTGACTAAGAGCCCCCACAGGGCAACCTCTCCACGCCTCTATCAACCCTCTAGCAGATCCTGGCATAACCCAATAAAACCCAAATAAGCCAAGCATCAAATCCCAACACTCTCTAGCCAAAGAGCAATGAATGAGAAGGTGATCCACAGATTCCTCATCACTAAGACACATAAACCAACGATTGACCACCACCTGGCTTCTCCTTCTCAAATTATCTTGAGTTAAAATCCTACCCAGAACCGAAGTCCACACAAAGAAAGCCACCTTGAGAGGAGCCTTGGAACGCCAAACAAACTTCCAAGGAAAACGAACTCCAGGAACTAATGAGAGGCACCTGAAGAAAGACCTCACCTCAAAACACCCCTGAGAGTTTGCAACCCAAGACCAATAATCCGAATCCTCCTCCACAATCCTCTGGCGATACAACAACTCCAAGAAACGAATGGCCTCCTCGATCTCCCAATCTTGAAAGGAACGCCTGAATCGAACATCCCAAACCAGTCTCCCATTATCAAGATGATAACAGTTAACCACCATGGCCTGCCTATCCGAAGCAATCCTGTAAAGCTGAGGAAAGGCGATAGCAAGAGGAACATCTCCACACCACACATCCTCCCAAAAGCAAATCCTCCTCCCATCTCTAAGACGAAACCGAATGTGCTTGGAAAATTCATCCCAACCCTTCCGAATAAATTTCCAGAACCCCACCCCTCGAGGATCTCTAATTTCCAATGAACTCCACCCTCCTCCAAAGCCAATGTCTCTCCACCCCAAACCTCCACAACCATTTCCCAAGGAGGGCCTTATTAAAAGGCACCAATTTACGGAGACCCAACCCACCATTCCGAATTGGTCTGCAAACCTAATCCCATCTCACCAAATGAAACTTAAACTCTTCACCTCTACCCCCCCACAGAAAATTACGCTGCAGCCTCTCAATCCTCTCCGCAACTGAAAAGGGAATTTGAAAAAGAAAGATAAAATAAGTGGGAAGACAAGAGAGGGTGCTCTTAATCAGAGTGACCCTGCCGCCCTTGGAGAGATACTGCTTCTTCCAACCCGCCAACCTTCTCTCAAATCTATCCACTACTGGATCCCAAATCCCCACACACCTCGAAGGAGCTCCCAGAGGCAAACCTAAGTAAGAGATGGAAAATGAACCAGTACTACAACCAAGAATGTCAGCAAAAGTCTCAATCTCAGGGACCTCCCCAACCGGCACCAAAACACTTTTCCCCACATTCACCTTAAGGCCGGAGACAACTTGGAACCAAATCAAAACACATCTCAAATATCTAATTTAGGACGCATTCGCATCACAAAGAACTAAAGTGTCATCAGCAAACATCAAATGAGATATTTCCAACTGAGAAATAGCATCCCTGCCCACTCGGAAGCCTCTCAAAAGACCCAACTCGGTAGCCTTTCTCATCAATCTACTAAGGGCCTCCATCACAAACAAGAACAATAAGGGGGAGAGAGGATCTCCCTGTCTCAAGCCCCTTGAGCTAAAGAAAAAACCAGTAGGAGCAACATTAACAAGGATCGAAAAGCGAGCACTGGAAATACAAAAATGAATCCATCTCCTCCATCTATCACCGAACTCCATCCTCTCCATCAGGTACAGAAGAAAGCTCCAACTCACATGGTCATACGCCTTCTCAATGTCCAACTTACAAAGAACACCCGGGACCACTACGCAATCTGGAGTCCACACACTCACTCGCAATAAGGACTGAATCCAAAATCTGACGGCCTCCTACAAAAGCATTTTGAGAGTCCGAAATGATGCCATCCAAAACTTTCCTCAATCTTGAAGCCAACACCTTGGCAATCAACTTGTAGATACAACCCACCAAACTAATAGGGCGAAAATCCCTAACATCTAACGCCCCTCCCTTTTTCGGAATGAGAGCAATGAACGTGGCATTCAAGCTTTTCTCAAAAGATCCCCGAGAATGGAAAGCATGGAAAGTACCCATCACCTCTCCTTTAACCACTTCCCAACACTCAAGAAGAAATCTCATGGTAAAACCATCTGGACCTGGGGCCTTATCCCCATTGCAGCTCTTCAAAGCAATCAGAACTTCCTCCTCAGAAAAAGGCAACTCCTAGCCCAAGCACTCCTTCTCAGAAATAGAGTCAAACTGCAACCCTTCGAGCAAATGTCTCCACTCAACAGACTCCGTGAACAAATTCTCAAAAAACTCTGAAAATCCTTTGCAGATCTCCTCCTCCTTACAAAAAATAACCCCCTCAACTCGAATCCTCCCTATATGATGGCCTCTTCTATAAGCATTGGCCAATCAGTGGAAAATTTTTGTGTTTCTATCCCCCTCCTTAAGCCACAAGGCTTGGGATTTTTGCCTCCACGAGATCTCCTCCATGATAGCAATCTCAGTAACTCCGCCTTGCACTCCGCCCTCCTAACCTCCAAAGTTTCCACCAAATCCCCTTGACCCTCCATCCAGTTAATAGCCGCTATTTTAACAAGAACCCGATTTTTCTTCCAAACAAGATTCCCAAAAGCCTCCTTATTCCAAGTCTTAAGATTTTCCTTTAAGAGACGCAATTTGCCTACTAGCAAATGACTAGGGGTGCCAACCACACCAAACCCCTCCCACCAGAGACGGACCCTCTCCAGAAAGCCCTCGGCTCGCAACCACATATTCTCGAATCTGAAAGGAGAGCGTCTATTGCACAATCCGCCACAATCCAACATCAACGGAACATGGTCAGAGATAGGACGAGCCAAAGTAGCCTGAACAACATCAGAGAACCTCTCCTCCCACTCCCCCGACACAAGGAATCTGTCAATCCGAGAAAGGGTAGGGGGAGAGCGGCCACTAGACCAAGTAAACGGCCCTCCAACCAAAGGCAAATCAATCAGCCCAAACTCATCAATAAACTCCGAGAAAGCCTCCATATCAGATGTCCACCTACCTCCCGTTGACCTCTCAAACGGAGAGCGAACAACATTGAAATCCCCACCAATACACCAAGGCAAACACCATCGACTTCTAATCTCCCCCAACTCCTCCCAAAGTAAATGGTGCATACCGTCCTCCGAAGGACCATAGACACCCGAAAAAACCCAATGAACACCATCCTCAGCCAAAGCAAGAACACATGAAACAGATAAACGCCCAACCTGAGCATCCACTTTAGACACCCATCTGTTATCCCACATGATTAAGATGCCCCTCGAGGAACCAATAGCATCCAAAGCAATCCACTCCACAAATCTCCCACCCCAAAGACTCCTCACAATCCTATTAAACATCGAAGCAAGTTTAGTCTCTTGAAGACACACCACATGGCCCCCACCTTTACGAATAACCAACTTCACCACTTTCTTTCTAACCGGGTCATTGAGACCCCGGACATTCCATGAAAGAATTTATAGCTTCATAGGGAAACACTTGGTATAACAAACCCTCCTTTCCTTTCACCACCTTTCCCTCCTGATTTGGACCCCCGATTTCTCCTTTCATATGTGATAAAATCATTGGGACTTTGCATCACTGTCTCCCCTTTCTCCTCCTGCAACCCTATCTTATCACCCACCTTTTTCTAAAAATGAGATTTGAGAACATCATTAAACAGACACATCGCCTCATCCACCTTACCCTCAAAAGAAACACCCAACAGAGGACCCACTTCCAATCCCTTCTCCCTCACCCACTCCTCCTCAAGGTCATTCACTCCAACATTAGTCGAGTCACTAGCCCAATTCCCCTCGGGCGGAACAACAGCCAAAGGCACAGCCAAATTCACTGCTTGTTCCAAGTTTTCCTATTGAATCATGCCCGAGTCCCCATCAAAAGAAGAACCTACAGCTCCCTCCCAATCATCAAGAACAGAAGAAGAATGCGAGCAAAACTGCGAAACAGACTCCTCCTCAGTCAAAACGCCTCCTGAATCACAAAGAAAACCTTTCAAAGCCAAATGGTCCCATAACTCCTTCAGCAGAATTGAGGCCGTATCATCATTAAGCTTCACCTTCACATCCCGACCTACACAAACTGTAACTCCCTCACACAAGCCGCCGAGAGAAGCCAAGACTATTCCCAAAATCACCATCATGAATCCTCGCTACATCCTCACCTTTTTGTATTCTATTGTTATGGAGTTTAAATAGTGATAGTAATTAGAAGCTATAGCATTGGCAAATTTCTCTTTACTTTTCTTGTCCCTTTTTCATTGCTTTGCAGAGCTTGCTTACACAATGGAAGTGAATGAGAAATGTGACGTTTATAGCTTTGGAGTGCTGACACTGGAAGTGATCATGGGAAAACATCCAGGCGAGCTCATCTCCTCTCTATCACCATTACCGACGTTGCTTGCCCGAGCTACACTTTTAAAGGATATGTTGGATCAATGTCTTTCACCTCCAAAGGAACAAGTGGCCGTGGAATTAGTCTTTATCACCAAGCTAGCTTTTGCATGCTTGCATGTCAATCCACAATCTCAGCCAACAATGAGAAAAGTATTGCCAATTCTACAAAATCCATTCCACATGATTACAATCGGACTACTGTTTGATATCGGGTCTTCAGCTTCCTGAGCACTTTTCCATCTTTTCAGTTTTTATGATCTTGTATTTTTTTTCGACATTAAATTTTCAATGTTCAATTTTTTTCCCATTTTTTTTCGTGTGTTGTTTCTCTGTCCTCTTACTCTTCTGTTATGAGGATGAAATCAAGATTGTTTTTTTTTTTTGATAAGTAAAAATATATTAGAAAGCGTTCAAAAGGGGAATGCATCCCTAGAGTTGTACAAGAATCAAGAACGAAAGGAAAAAAAAAGGAAGACCTATGGACCCAAAGACCCCAAAAAGTCCATGATCTCCTTAAACGAAGAACAATCTCTCCCCATACCCCAACTAAAAAGAGAACAAATAATAGCAACGGGTTAACTCCTCCCCAGCAAAGGATCTTCTATTACGTTCTTTCCAGAGGCACCACCAAATGCAAAGAGGAGTCGCCCTCCAGAAATCACGAACACGAGCCCCCACTCTCTGCCCCCTCCAAATATCAATAAGGCCCCGAGAGTTCTGAGGCATAACCCACTGAACGCCAAAAAGACCCAACATAAGGCTCCAACAGTCATGGGCGACTGGGCAGTGCAAGAGAAGGTGGTCCACAGACTCTCCATCGGTCAAACACAGGCAACACCGATTAACAATGATATGTCTTCTCTTCCTCAAGTTGTCCAGAGTCAAGATCTTACCCCAAGCAACAGTCCAAGCAAAGAAAGCCACCCTAAGAGGAGCCTTCGAAAGCCAAACCGTTTTCCACGGGTAAGAGGAGGCCTGAAAACCGGAAAGACAGAAAATGAAAGACCGGACCTGAAAAATCCCCTGCGAAGAAGGCACCCAAGTTAAGAGGTCTGCCCCAGTACCATCCACCTCCTGTCGATACAAAAGATCTAATAAGCCAAAAACATCATCCAGCTCCCAATCCTGAAAGGCTCGCCGGAACTGAACATCCCAAGACAACCTACCGCTATCAAGGCGATAGCAGTCGGCAACCAAAGCATGACTATCCACGGCAATCCTGAACAACCTTGGAAACCATCGACACAATGGATGTTCCTCACACCAAGGATCCTCCAAAAACCGAACATTCCGACCTTCCCAAACTCTGAATCTAATATGCTTAGAAAACTCATCCCAACCCTTCCCAATAAAATGCCACACACCCACGCCGATAACAGATCTAGCCAATCTAGCAGACCAACCCCTTCTCTCCTCCCCAAACCGACAAGCAACAATCCTCCTCCATAATCTATGCCTTTCACTGCCGAACTGCCAAAGCCACTTGCTAAGAAGAGTCTTGTTGAAAGGGGCAAGTCTCCGAATCACAAGGCCTCCCAACTTAAAGGGCCTGCAAACCTGCTCCCACCGAATAAGATGATATTTGAACTCCTCCCCCCTACTGCCCCAAAGAAAATTACGTTGAAGCATCTCAAGTCTCCCGACAACAGAAGAGGGAATCTGGAACAGAGAGAGAAAAGAAGTTGGAAGACTGGACAAAACACTCTATACCAACGTAACTTTTCCTCCCTTCGAAAGATATTGCTTCTTCCACCCAACCAATCTTCTCTCGAAACGCTCAATAACCGGGTCCCAACTTCCTGCCCTCCTTGAGGAGACGCCCAAAGGGAAGCCTAAATAAGAGATTGGGAAGGAACTCGTCCTACAACCAAGGACAGCTGCAAGAGAAGCCACCTCCTGAACCTCCTCCACAGGGACAAGCACACGCTTACCCACGTTGATTCTCAAACCATAACACATCTCAAATATCTCAATTGGGACACCTCTGGCTCACAAAAAACCAAAGTGTCATCCGCAAGCAACAAGTGAGAACTCTCCAATTGATGGACTGCCTCTAGACCAATTTTGAAGCTTTGTATAAGGCCCAAGGTCATAGCCCTCCTCATTAGCCTGGTAAGAGCCTCCATAACAATAATAAACAATAAAGGGGATAGGGGGTCCCTTTCCTTAAGCCCCGAGAACTGCCAAAAAACCCCGATGGGGAACCATTAACCAACACTGAATACCTGATAGACGAAACACAAGTAACAATCCATCTCCTCCATCTCTTACCGAACCCCATCCTCTTTAGCAAATAGAACAGGAAATTCCAGCAAACATGATCATAGGCTTTCTCAATGTCTAGCTTACACAGAACTCCGGGAACCCTACTACGAAGCCTAAAATCCACGCACTCATTGGCGATAAGCGCAGAATCCAGAATCTATCCGCCCCCAATAAATGCATTCTGAGACTCTAAAATGACACCGTCCAGAACCCCCCTCAATCTCAATGCCAGGACTTTAGCTATAGGCTTATGCAAACACCCAATCAAGCTGATAAGTCTAAAGTCCTTAATGTCAAAAGCTCCCCCCTTCTTAGGAATCCAAGCAATAAAAGAAGTGTTCAGCGACTTTTCGAACTTTCCATTGGAATAAAACTCATGAAAAGTACCCATAATCTCCTGTCTGACCACCTCCCAGCTTTCCAAAAGGAAACTCATCGTGAAACCATCCGGCCCTGGAGCTTTATCACCGTTACAACTCTTCAAGGCCTCCAGAACCTCCTCCTCCGAAAATGGCCTTTCTAACCAATCCCTATCCTTCACAGAAATAGAGTCAAAGTGAAGACCATTAAGCCTTGGCCTCCAGCGAAGAGGCTCAGTAAATAACCTCTGATAGAAAGACACAATCCCCGTTCTCACTTCCTCATCAGAAATCAACAGCGAACCATCCACACGAATCTGGCCAATATGATTGCCCCTCCTATGAGCATTAGCGGTACGGTGGAAAAACTTAGTGTTACGGTCTCCTTCTTTGAGTCACAAAGCCCGAGATTTCTACCTCCACGAGATATCCTCCATCACCACAATATCAGCACATTCAACTTGACAAGCTGCTCTCCTATTACGTTGAGACTCATCAAGACCTCCCGCCGCATCCAATCTATCAATCTCCGCAATATCAGCGAGGGCCCTATTCTTCCTCCACTCCAGATTACCGAACACCTCCTTATTCCATCTTTTAAGTTTATCCTTCAGAAGACGAAGCTTTCTTGCAAGAATAAAACTCGAAGTTCCCACCACCATGTCCTCCTCCCACCAAGACCACACCAAACCCTGAAAATCCGCCGCTCTAAGCCACATGTTTTCAAATTTGCCAAGGTGTGACGAGGTCTCAAACCTCCACAATCCAAAACCAAAAGAATGTGATCCGACATCACCCTAGCCAACACAGCCTGAATTGCATCTGGAAACTGCTCCTCCCACTCTCCGGAAATCAAGAATCTATCCAGGTGGGAAAAAGTAGGCATCTCTCGATCAATGAGCTGATGATCATCGCCAAACTCTGAAAAAAGCCTCATAGCCGGAGTCCATGATCCACCTATAGACCTCTCCAATAGGGATCTAACCACATTAAAGTCACCAGCCACACACCATGGAAGAGACCACATCTCCTAAACCCCGCTGAGCTCCTCCCACAACGCAGGCCTCTCACAATCATCCACCGGCCCATAGACGCCAGAGAAAGCACAAGGGAAGCCATCCTCTTCCAACACAAAGGCACAAGACAGAGAGAAAAGCCCCCTACAAACATCCACCTTACCCATCCATCTCCTATCCCACATGAGAAGAATACCTCCAGAAGACCCCACTGATACAATGCATTATATTGCACATAGTAGGACCAATCTAAGTGTTTCTTATTCGATAATATACATACCTCTATCATAACGGGAAGAAGACAATATAGGAAATAACTCGGTGCAGATTAAAGTAATGAAAATGGCAGGGTGTAATAGTCGCAGGGGATTACTTACTAGTTGCAAGCTTGGGCAGTAGAGAAGAAAGGCGGCCATGTACTCACAGCAATGTTCAGTCCATTAGCACTTATTTTGACTGCTATCTTCTCAGCAATATCCTTTAAGGAGACCCTTCACTGGGGAAGGTATACATCCTCGTCTGCCATTACGTACACACGCAAGGAGAAACACATCATTTTGCATTTGGTAAATCAATAGATTTCAAATGATAGCATGATAGCATTTCAGTTTGAATAAAAGATTGACTATTGAAATTGGATCTAGAAGCCAATATATAATTTCTCCCTACACAAGGGATCTTCCAAACTCATTGGAGAATGAAATTACTATATTTCATTATTCAGCTGACTATCTTTTTAATCTAGAGAGAAGAAGTCCGAGAGTAGAGAGAGAAGATAAACAAATCTGCAAAAATCATGTTACCTGCAAGTACATGGCTCTCTGCAATTTGTTTGTATGTGGAACAACATGAGAAGGGTATATGGTTTGGTATTAAAACCTTCTGACTTGCTGATCTTATTGTTATATCCCAATTCCCAAATAGTTACTGATATGTCCCAAACAGTTTCTAGTATGTCTGAAAGACTGAAACTGAAACCACATGGTTTCTTGATGTGGTAGTTTTGGTATTAAAATTACCACTACATAAATAGGCATTATCCTCCCTCATGTTTTCAAAACAGTTTCAATATCAACAAGTTGAATTCCCAGCAGTGGGGCAGCC